TCTCTCTCTCTCTCTCTCTCTCTCTCTCTCTCTCTCTCTCTCTCTCTCTCTCCCTTTCTTTTTCAAACAGCATCTTTCTACACAGCCCTGGCTGTCCTGCAACTCACTATGTAGTCCAGGCTAGCCTCAAACTCACAAAGCTCTGTCTGCCTCTGCCTCCCAAGTGCTGGGATTAAAGGTGTGTGTGCAACCATGCCTAGCCAGAAATTTCAATTTTCTTATTGGTGGGTGTTTTCTTGGTCAGTTTGGGAAACCGGGACAATTCAAAGTGTTTTGTCCTATTTTAAACCTAGACATGATTATGCAGACAGAGGTTCACATCATTTAAGAACTTAGGAGACACCTTAAATCAATAGTAATGCTTGGTAAAGTGTGACCTGCCATCAGATCACTGGAGAACAGACTTAGCATGTATAAGGCTCCAGTTTCCATCAATAACAATAAAAATAGATTCACTAATAAATTTGATCTGAATATATTATTGCAATTTTTAAACGGGCTAAAAAGTTTAAAATTTGATATATCTGAAAAGCATGGATCTGTACATACAGTCAAAGGGAGGCATCCTGGGGGCCAAGCTGGGTGTATTGATGATGATGATGATGATAATAATAATAATAATAGCTAATTAAGTTGGATGCAACAGTGTCTCAAACTATGCATGCCATTGAGTGTGCTATTGCTGGCATTCTATAAGCACATGGGGAGCCTCATAGTACCAAGACCACATGTCACAGCACAGAGATATTTCATAGCCTTTGATGCAATTTTCTATCCATTAGAGACATAGATGATGATTACAACAGAATCTTGCACTGTGTTGCTCATTGTGGTTAAAACTGTCTTAATTATTTGCACATGAAACAACCATCTAAGAATAGCATAGCTTTGCAGGTTGAGATCTGGCCAGGATATTGAAAGGCTCCTCTAGGAACTTAATTGGTGACACTAAACCATTAAAGAGTAACTTTCATTTTTTTTTTTTTGAGGACATTTGCAGACTAGAGCTTTAAAGGCACGATTAAGCACATGGAATAAGGAATCAAATAATCTCTCTGCTTCTTAAAAAAAGAGTTTGTCTTTCCTGGTGGAAATTCATTTTTAATCTGTACCGATAACTTTTAATAGGCATCAGTTGGGCACCCCATTAAGCTAACTGCTTTAAAATGATTTCCTTCTAGAGCCTGCATTTATATCTTAGGAAACCAATTAGCTTGACTGGATTTCCCATTTCCTTTGCAGTGTTCCTCTGCAGCCTGTTCAGAATGGTTAGCCTGCCAAAGCAAAACCCTCAGAGGTGCAGACCTTCGGGAAGAAGTGCAAATGCCACACTCTGCATTGGAAAAAACGGGGAAAATGAGCCTCCTATGCTCTATCTGCCGAACATTTAAAACTGCATAAAGCACAGGAAATACTTTTGGCATGGGGGAATGTGTGGCTGTTTCCAAACTACAAACACTGTTCTGCAAAGTTCCCCGGTAGTGGTGAATTATATGAGACCATGTCCATCTAAGTAAGGCTTGTTTAACTAGCCTGTGGTTCTGGGGCTCATTCAAACACTCTTAAACAAAATAAAGGGAATGGATGTAATAACTTCTTTATGGAAAGTCCATAAAAAGCTAGAGGGCCGTGTAAACAAATTGGGTCATTTACTAGATGTTTAAGTGATAGATTTGCAGTCCAAATTTAGGGCTGCATGTGATGTTTTATAGGGTCATGCCTATATTCCTACTTGAGAGTAAGGGGATAAATTTGGCTGTTTGTGTGTTTGTTTTTGTCTAGCACGTGAAATCCCATCATTGCTATTTTATTGTATAGTTTGAAAATACCTAAGATGTAGTCCATATATATTTGTCTTTTGTCTGTCCATTCCACTTTATATGAAAAGTTGAATTGGCCTACTTTTTGGTCGCACTGGGTTCTATTAAAGGAAAATATGATGATTGAAATTGAAATTTTCCTTCTAGGCTCAGACATGTCGAAACTAATTGTAAAATAATTGTTCTGGCTCACAAGAGGAGACCTTCAACTACAGCTATGTAAAATAGAAATCCAAACAGCAGTTATGACTTATGGTCATTGGAACTCTGCTTGTCTTGGAATTAGTCCTCTTATGACAAACTACATATGACATCGGTTCATCTTCCTGGAGAGTTAGACCTTAAATCCAGTCCCCAGTTTTCCTCCTCTCAGTAGAGCCTCCACACTGCATTAGAAAATTCCTTTCCCTTCTCTGAAATTGAGCAGGAGGATTGTGTCACACTGATCCACAACATAGAGCCCAGAGAGCTAGGGGCATAAACCTTCCACATTAGGTGGACAGCAGAAGCCAATCATCCTTGTGAGCATCAAAGTGAGCAGAAGATGGTAAATAACTTCTACATTGAGTCTGTAACACATCTTAATTCTCTGGTCCCTCAGCTCTGATTGGTTTGCATGGCTTTAAAGGAAGTGAGTGTGTAAGTAATCCACAGTACTCATCAAGGAATCAACGATCCTTTCTAGCTTTTAATAAGTGATGGTGTCATACCATGCTGGCAAGTCTGATGTGTTGCTGTTGGAAGTTTGGCAGAGGAAGTAAATCCTCTGATACCCAGGTTTAAACAGTAGACAATGGTAGATTCTACAATTTCTATGTAATGTGTGACTTGCCCTTCCTTCTTCCTTCCTTTCTTTCTCTTTCTCTCTTTTTTAATGATGGCCTTAAATCTGAAAACAACAACAACAGCAAAAATATCTAAGATTTTCTCTTAAATTAAATTCTCTGTGATTCTGCACACAGGAGCTTAGGTTCCAGTTATCTTTGGCTCATGGTTGTAGGAATTCTCCCCCAAGACTGAGCTAACCTACTTCTTTAAGCCATTGGTTGGGGATAGTGCATCATGCTGCAAGTGTATGGCTGGGAAGCAGAAGAGAGGAAAGTGAAGGTTTCCTGCTGTGTCCTTCAAGGGCATGGTCCCAGTGCTATAAAAATCTCCTACTCAACTCTGGCCATTTAAAGGTTCTACCACCTTCCGAAGGTGGTACCCAGCCATTATCAAATGGGCCCTTGATGGATTCTCATGATCAGTACAGTTTGTTGCCTCCAAGTCATTTATACTTAAAGGAGAACATGAAATATACATCTAAGGCCAGCCATGACAGTACACAGGTATAATTCCAGGACTAAGGCAGCTGAAACAAAAGATTGATGTAAGTTTAAGGCTACCCAGGCTGCAGGGTGAGACCCTGCTTCAAAACACAAAATGACCAACAAAAAAATTAGAGAGAGAGAGAGAGAGAGAGAGAGAGAGAGAGAGAGAAAGGAAGAAAGAAAGAAGGCAAGAAAGAAAGAGAGAGAGAAAGAGAGGAGAAAAATGCCATCAGCACTTATCCAGGGTAAAAAATGCCATAGTGTTGGGCATACTTAGCTTACTTATAATGGAGTTATTAAAAGACATTGAGAGAAGTTGGAGTGGGCTGTGAGCAGAGGGACTGGGAATATAGACAGCACCAGTACCTTGAAGAATCAGAAGTAAAGGGAGATTTGAATAAATGGGAATACACTTTGTCTAAAGTATAACTTGTTTTGATGGTGACATAAGAAGGGGGGAGCTGGGGGAAGCAGAAGGAGGGATAGGAGGTGGATTTGTGACTGATATGTAGAATGAATGGAAAAATTCTCTTAAAAAGAGAAAAAAGAAATAAATATAAAGGAATGGTTACTGCAAGTAAGAGGCATAAAAGGAAGAATATTTTACTGACTTCAGAAAAAAAGCCCAGTGACCACCATCCCTGGGCTTCAGTAAGTCAAATGATGAGCTACATCTAACTTCTCCTGAGTAGAGATGGAGGCATATGAACACTGCTCATCAGTGAAGATTGCAGTTAAAGGAATAAAAAACTGCATGAAGAAATCCCCATGAAGGGGTTGCAGTCCAGGCAAGGGGGCACTGGCCTTGGCAGAAAGTACAGGATGCCAAGGGTCAATAGAGAAGCTTGAAAAACAACAGAATCAAGAATAGAGTGACCAGTGGAAATGAAAACAGAAATTTGAATACTTCAATGCAATGAGAGGTATGGAAGAATGGCTAAGTAAGGGTCTGAGATCTGGAGCGTTAAGGCAGAAACAGACGTCAGAGTGGTCCCAGAGTAGAAGTACAGAGGGGAAGCAATGATTCGTTTCTATACTGGCATGCTTTTAGGACATGGGAGACAGGCAGAGGAAAGGGACAGGTTCCATACATAGTAAAGAACAAGATCCAGGCTCCCATAGTCCTTATGCATCAGGGAAATGCAGGTGAAATGCACAGAGATTATGCATTCTTCCTGATACTGATTTTCTAGCTCGCTCTTAAGTGACACATTTTTATTGTGTAAACACACACACACACACACACACACACACACACACACACACACACATACATATGTGCATGCACTGAGGTCAAAGGACAACTTTGTGGAGTCAGTTATCTCCTTTCACTTTTGTGTAGGTTCTGAGGGCCAGGCATAATGTCATATACCTCTAATTCCAGCACTAGGAAGACTGAGGCAAGAGAATTGATGTGAGTCCTGAGGATCAAATCCATGTTGCCAGGCTTGAACATCAAATCCAAACCCAATGAGTCAAATCACTGGTCTTGCCATACTCTGAGTAGGTCTTCTCATGCCTGTCACATACCTGCTTCTCACTGGAGGGGCAAAAAGATTTCAATTCTTCATTGCTCTCAGGAATTCAGCATTCACCGAATATCATATCATTTCCTCTGAAAATTGGAACACTGAGCACATCTCTCTTGCTGTTACTTTGATATCCTAGTACACCCATCTTGTAGATATCTCATTGCCATCCAGTGATCCAATTTCACATACGTTTAGAGTACTTTCAGAGTCTCATGGGGTGTCTTGGTCTTAGCACTCCAATGTGAAATTGCAACTTCAAAGACACCGTTTCTGTTCTGCATTGCAACACAAAGACTCCAAACGTATAACATAGTCCATTAAAGAACCCAGAATGATTTTCAGGGTAGTGAGTGAATATTGACATTTCTATTTGCAGGTAAAGTATTTATAGCTGCATTTGCGTTTTCGGCTCTCTGTCATTATCCAAAGTGTGGTGCTAGTTACCGATGGCACAAACTGTGCCAAAGTGCCCTTATTACTCTGTGATCTAGGTTTTAGCTGCTCCCCCTTACCCCTTTGATCGGCTGAATGAGGGTAAATACCAGATAACTTCCCTACAGTGGAGCTGTGAGTGAGTCTACCCCAGTCAGGTGTGGATGCACACGACCTGGGGATCAGATTGAAGTTCACATTCTGAGTTAGTAGGCCCTGAGTGGAGCCCAAGAGTCTGCATTTGAACAAGCTCATAGGTGGTGGTGGTGCTGGGCTAAGGACTAAGGTCCAAACCTTTGTGGCTCTCAAGGGCTACTGAGACTCCTTCCTTATTCCTTCTTACACAAGATGCCCCACAGCTGATCTGTATGTACCATGGACATCTTCATTTTCCCAATACCCAGTCATCTTACTGACTCAATAGATAGTCCCTGAGATAGTCATTATCTAAGGGAGATCTTCAAGGATAAAGGATGTAATAGGAAAGGAAGAGTTCCATGCGGAACTTATGAGAGAGCATGTCTATGCCTTCGGCATGCAATTACCTTTTCACAGTTCAACTCTTTGTTGTGGAAAAAACAGAACTGAAAAGTTATTTGTTAATGATGAAGGTCTATATCTGACATACTATAGAACTATGTGAATGTTGTTGATAAGATCTTAAAAAGCCAACAAGGGTTTTTGCTTTTAGATTTAGATTATGTTCCTAATGCTTGATTTTGCTTTCCTTTAAAATACATGCCTAATATTTTTCATACCATTACTTTAGAATCCTATATTTTCCCAACTTTATCAAATATAATTGATAAATAAAAAAATGTGTTTGCCGTATTTAATTCAATGTTTTGATATGTGGAAAATCACTACCACAAATTAGCTAATTATCCGTAACCTCACATGGTTATCTTTTTGTGAACATGATGTTACTTTTCAAAACTATATTTCTTTAATACACACTTGTTTGGTTTTTATTTGCTAGAGGGTCTGTCAGTGTTCTTGTGAAGGACAGAGGGTTTAGAAGGTGTATACTGTATTTGACCTGCCAGGGGCTGACGATACTACCATTTAGTAAGTACTTGTGAGTGGAGCAGGAGTTCTTTACACAAAGCACACAGACATTTAGGGCCGATCTTTCCCTGCTCCACTAAAACCATTTTCCGTTTCTCAGTTTGCTGTTCTCATTCTCCAAGCTCCCAGAGTGCTCCAGTGGTCACCACTTGTTATTGTGGATTCCAGTTACCAATGGGTCTTATCTTCCATAACTTTTAAGTGTCAGTCAATAAAATGTTGAACAGTCTTTAGCACAGGGCCTCAGATGGTAGGTCTTGAGTGAAATATAAACAGCACACTTAGACCCAGCACAGCTTGTCCTGCTGTGCTGTTCGCTTCTGGGATCCTAAACCAACTTCTAAGATCTTTAAGTGAGTCATATGCCTTATTTCACAACTGAGGGATGCAGCTAACGTCTGGCTTCATTTTGAGGAACTAAAAGGGGACACACAGGATGGCCTCAGTCTTTCTGCTTAGACTGAATAAAATTGATGAACCAAGAACCTGATGGGCAGATTATAATGATGACTGCTTAGAATGTTATTTCCTCAACCAGAAAACAGAAACGTATCATTTCCAGGAAAAAATACTCTTAAATTGTGAACTTTGTGAAAATATTTCATTGCAGTTGATTCGTTCAGAGAAGATCATGACCTACCAAATGTTTCTTTGCAAAAACTTTAACTTTAAGATTCTCATCCCCCTTCTGAAATTTCCAGTTAACCTAAGATGCAGCTCAGGTGTTTTCTCCTTATTTTCAGTTATCTCTTTGTGCCTTGGGGTTTTGAGATTTATATTTCTAATTTGTCTGCTGGAAGGAAAAATATTAAAAAGGTGGGGTTTTGTTGTTGTTGTTGTTTCATTGTCACTCAAAGAATGTTTTCTTCTTCCTTGAAAATGAAGTTGATTTTCTCAGCTCTGAACATATGAGATTATGGGCAAGTCTTCTGTTGCTCTGGCGTGTGGACAAAACAGAAGCAGACCCTGGAGAGAGAGTTCAGAATTCATGGCAGGAAGCACATGTTCAGTATGCCAATATTTATGGTGTCACAAGCAAACTAAAACTACACACTGCTATTTACATAATTGTCATGCCTAGACCGCACAGGCATGTGTTGTGTGGAAGGCAATACAATGTTTGGGACACATAAAACATGGCATTTATTTCACATTAGCTTTCTTTCTCTATGAGGGAGAGTTATTAATTACTTAATTATTTTCTTTATTATGTATGTTTAGACTTGAAGTCAGCTGCAATGAGAAGTGGTGACATTTAGCAGAAATGCAGATTGACGTTGTGCTATTGTAATTGTGAGTAGGCAGTGTCATCCTGGCACCCTTCACTCCTGGGCTGAGTACTTAGGTGTGCTGATCATCCAACTGAACATGAACTTCTTCATAAATACATTGATCATCTTTGTTCTTTTGCATGTTGCATCTTATTCAGGATCTTGGCTTGTGTTCCATCTCCTTGAAAAAAAATTGACATGCATACTTTTGATAAGAAAACATATTTACTGCCTTTCTTTATGGTAAACATCCTT